GCCACACGAGACATGGCGAATTATCAAGGAAGGTGCACTCTATTATCATCAGGCCCAGCTAGGTGGTAACTGGGAGGATATCTATCAGCTGACGCTAGAAGGGATGCCGCTGATCGATCGCCAGGTTGCCAACTGGTACACTTCGACTCATCCAGATTCTCGCTTCAGAAACATCTTGATGGTTGCGAAAGCAGCTCCTGATGGCGTACGACTGACGATGCTCAACGACGAGTTTTCCATTCGTGATGCTCAAGGCTACGCAACGAAATATCCTATAGGTTCGAAAAAGGAAATGCTCGACATCTTAGCCGAGCATTTCGATATGCACTTACCAATAGATTCAGCAATTAAAGTGCCTGCGATCTCGTGGCTTCGTCACGATTAGTTCGAGCTCAGGGCTTTCTCAAGGACAGGCTTGAAGATCTCGGCCTGACGCATGAATCCTAAATCACTCGCGTGCGAAGCGTCGGTCGCACCCTCTGTGTCATCGCCGTATAAGTTGTCTCCTTCGATGTAATACAAGTTGGTTACGCCGGCATCCGTTAGTTGTTTGTAGGCTGCATTGAGGGCCGCATGATTGGCGGTGTGATGTTTGCTTCGAGCCGGTAAAATCCAGTCATTCGTGTTGCGTCGATCTTCAACCAGAATAATCGGCGTGTCTGGTTTTGCTGCCCGGATTTGTTGCACAAGCGGAACGCAGCGAGTTTCAACGTCGGAGGGTCCCATATTGGGCAAACAGTCGATCACGTAAACCGCGGCGTCGACCTGCACGAGGTAGTCGGCCACTTCTTCATGCATCTTTCCGTTACCCGAAAACCCGAGATTGACCACTGGGCGATCGAACCATCGGCCGAGAATTGCCGTGTAGACCATTCCTGGACGACTGGCACACGCGCCATGTGTGATGCTGGTACCGTAAAACACGATTGGCTTCTTACGAGGAGTAAGGCCTTCCAATTTCGCTTCCGACTTTACGCCAATTTTCAGGTAATCGATACCGTTATAGAGAGGCAGAAAAGCGGCGTATTCTCGCTCGCCGGGAGCGAGGCCGCCGATCCACTTCGTCTTCACAACTTGAGCTGTTGGTTTGGTTACCGCTACCCATTTCCATTTGCCGGCATCGTCTTTGGCGTAGAGATCAACTCTACTAACGCCGGTGGCTGGCATATGGGGCATCGCGATGCCACCATCTTTGAGCTTATAGTCGATCCAGAAATCGGTTGCATCAGATTTAAAGCGTACCACCATACCGGCACTGTCTCGGCTGAGGCTCCAAACGGCTGGAGTCACTTTGCCTTCTGCTGAGGCTGGTAATCGATCGAACCAGCGAGCACGCTCTTGATCCGGGAGAATTCTCCCTTCTACACCCCATGTTGTGACATCGTGCCAGGTAACATCGTCTTGGGCCAAAAGCAGGTTTGATTGAGATAAGAGAAGCAGGATCGCAACGGCAAGCGACCAGTGGGCAATTTTCATGATGTGACTCCTAAGGTGGGAAACTCGGCATGTAAATGACCGTAGTTTGTGTCGAGTAGAAGGACAAGTAGGGCGTGTCAAGGAACTTATAATTCCGAGGAATTGGCAAACCAATGCGTGAAGGGTAATCGTGCGGTATGATTCAGAAAAGGGATGAATATTCTGTCGCAGGAATCAAGAGATGAATACGCGAAGTATGGATTTTTCCGAAGTCGAGCAGCTTGTACGTTGGGCAGCGGACGAAGGATGGAATCCGGGAATTCAAGACGCCAAAAATCTCTGGGCAGCTGATGAAGCTGGTTTCATGGCGATCGACGTCGAAGGAGAAATGGCTGGAGCAGGTGCCGCCTTTTATCATGGCCCTGCCTACGGCTTTATGGGTTTGTTCATTATGCGTCCGGAGTTTCGTGGCCAAGGGCTGGGTAGAAAGCTTTGGTTTGCACGGAGGGATCGATTGCAAGAGCGGCTTAGCGCTGGCGGCACGATTGGGATGGATGCTGTGACTCATATGATCCCCTTTTATGCCAAAGGGGGCTTCGAGCCTTTTACTCGGCATTGCCGGTTCATGTTGGATCCAACACAGGTATCGATCGAAGCGAAAGAGGACGTGTTTGAATTGACGAATGCTGATTGGACGGAGGTCGAATCGTTGGACCGAAACGGTTTTCCTTGTCAGCGGACTAAGTATTTGTCGACATGGATAGCGCAAGATGGTGCGTTTGCTCTCGGAATCAGAGGCGTTAATGGTCTGTCCGGATATGCGGTGATACGACCATGTCAAAGTGGTTGGAAGATTGGTCCACTGATATCCGAGGACGCACGTCAAGCACGTAAGTTATTACATGCTTGTGTGCAGCGTGCCCAGAATGGTCCAGTTTATTTGGATGTGCCAGAGAACAATCCTAACGCGTGGACGTTATGCAAAGACTTGGGAATGCAGCAGGTCTTTGAGTGCACGCGTATGTACCTAGGTGCGGTGCCAGAGATGGAGCACCGAATGATTTACGGTGTAACGAGTCTTGAGGCAGGCTAACTACGAAGCCGAGTCAATTGCTTTTTGAGCTTCCTGGCCGTAGTGCGTTTCCGCATAGCGACTGATAACGCGGCCCATCATGCGTCGGAGCGTCACAGGGGAATTCGCTTTCTGCATTCCTTGGTCGTATAGCTTTT